TGTTAAATGAAGATAGCCTAAACAATGAACTCTTCTTTTGGAAAAGGTGGAGAATGGGAATATTTAGATCAATGTATTGGACTATGGAAGGATTATTTATTGTTTAGGCCCTATGTCAGGCTTTTGACATCAATAGAAGTTTATTCTTCCACTTTCTTTATGTGCCTTAATATTGCTGTTGGAGACTGAATTGAGGCTGAATGGAGTATGGCTCAGATTCAGTATGGTTACTCTCTCACCACAAGACTAGGGTGTATGTATATGTTGGGGTTGATCAGCATCAGTTTATTGTCACAACTAGAAAAAGTCTCAGTTTTTTAATAGTAGCAATACGATGATTAAGTAATGCTAACTAAAGTGAAATCACTTATGAAAACGAGCTCATCCTAATGAGTTTAATATGTACATATTTTTTGATTTTAGACATATACATTGTACATATGTACACATTTTTGAGAAATTTTTTTTTTACTTTTAGAGAGTAAAAAATTATTTTTAGAGAGAGGGGGCAGATCAGTTGCCTCCTGCACATGCTCCCCACTGGGGATTGAGCCTACAATGTGCCCTGACTGGGAATCAAACCAGCAACCTTTCAGTACACGGGATGACACCCAACCAAATGAGCCATACCAGCGAGGGCTGTGCACATTTAATATGTACCCACAGACTTTAGTTAAGATTTCTGGTGCTGTAAATTCTTAGACTGGTATGTAGGCTGAGCTTTTTTTGTTGGACTCTCTTTACAAAGAAAATAGTGCTATAGTATACATATTTAATTGAAACATTTAAGAAAACTCTAAAACTTGTTGTTGATATGTAGAGAATCCAGGCAGGACTCTTGCAGGTTCGTTTCCTGTGCAGTAAAAATTTCCTGACTCTCACAAAACTATTGTTGAGCATCCATCCTCCACTTCCTTTCACTCTTCCTGCCTCACTCACTGTCTATTACTGTCAGTACCCATTTCTGTTTCTTCTTTCCCCAAAAAGGTTTTACATATTGTGGTTAATTATTGCTTCTGCCATGGCCCAATTTCAATAATCATTCTTTTTGATAAGTGGAAAGAAGCTAAAATTGTCTCAGTAGATGCTATAGACTTAATAGCAGAGGTAGGGATTGTGTCAGATAACTAGAAATAATTAGAAAGAAGACTCAGTTTCTGTTTCTCATTGCTAGTAACTAGCTATATAATCTTATGAAAGTCCTTGGTTTAAATGATGCCATGGGACAAGTTGATTTCCAAGGTCACTTTTGATTGTAATGTGCTTTTTTATGATTAATTCATTGTACACCTATTTAAGTGCTGGCTTATGTGCCAACACTGGTTGAAAGATACAGAGATAAATAAGCTTCTGGCTTTGAGTAAGTGAATGGTGACAATATGATGTGTATAGGAGAATGTGCATAGTGCTCTTTGAACAAACTTAGGGGCAGGAATTAAGAAAGACTTCCTCTTGGATGTCATATTTGAGTTGATTCTTAAAGAATGAATAGCTCACCATGCAAGGAAGGAAGGACATTCCAGGAAGAGCAAATCACAGAGGAATGAGTAAGCATTGCATGTTTTGGGATGGTCAATGGTAGGTGACAGTGGAGAATGGAGTTTGTGGAGAAGGCTTACTGGTACTAAATAATTGGATGGGGAGTTAGATGGGAGTGAGATTCTGAAAGGCCTTATATGTTATACTGAAGATGTTGGATTTTAAAGGCTGAAGTTTTTAAAATTTAACTTTGGCAGTTTTTAGTTGTGCCTTTATAAAATGTTTTGAAAAGAAGAAAGACAAACTTGTGTTTCAGAAAGGTAACTTGGTAGTGTGGAAGATAGACTGATTGGAGCAGGTGAAGTAAAGGCAGGGAGATAAGCTTGAAAGCTCTTGCAGTATTCAGGGTGAGAGATGATGAGGGTTCAGCTAAGAGAGGAATAGCCATGGAGATAAAACCTGAAGGATGGAATTGGCAGACTAGAGTAGGCTACGTGCAGTGAGACTCTGGAAACTGGAAGTGGAATGTTGGTGAAGAGAAGAATACTCTGGATGGTATCAAGATATGCCTGGTTTGATTTCTGGGTGAGTGATAGTGTCCGCATCCAAGAGAATAAGGGATGCAGTAGAAACAAGTTTTTTTTTCTTTATTGATTTATTTTTTGAGAGAGAGGAAGGGGGAGGGTGGGAGAGAGAGAGAAACATCCATGAGAGAGAACATCAATTGACTGCCTCCTGCATGTCCTCCACTGGGGATTTGGTCCACAACCTGGGCATGTGCCCTGACTGGGAATCGAACAGGCGACCTCTTGGTGCGTGGGTCAACACTCAACTACTGAGCCACACCAGCTGGACGAAAGTACAAGTTTTTAGGTAGGGGTGTAGGGGAGATAAATCCATGTTGAGCTTGAGTTGTCTGTGGGTTATCAAAGGAGAAATGAGATTTCTAGTAGGCAGATACATGGGTCTGAGCTCAGGAAAGATTTGAACTGGAGATAAAGATTTGGAAGTCACCATTTATAAATGGCAATAAAACCAGCTTTATTGGCAAATTACTCTGGAACAAGACTGTAGAGAGTTTTGGGGGTATTGCCATATCTCTGCTTCAAAAGGGGAAAAGGTTGATGATAACCGTAAGATTCTGTGTGCATAATTCTGTTCTTATGTGTATCAGATTCTCAAAACGGTCTGTGACCCAGTAAAGATTACTGTGGAATACTGGAAAGGAGTAAGGTTAGACCCCTTTGTAGAAATATGGGAATACTGAAATTAAGGAGAAGACAAGAAAAGGAGATGGAAGAGACCAGTAGTTTTAGGGGAGAAAGGAAGAGAGCATTTCAGGGAAGAATAATCAACCAGAAATGTCCATTGGCCTGGGATTAACAATTTTTGCCTTCCCTGATAAGATTGATTCTAGTGAAATACTTTAGCATATGAGTAACTGGAGAGGAGGTTGCTATAGGGAAGGAAGGTTGAAGTAGAAATGAGAGGGAATACATTTAGATGGAAGACTAGAGAAGGAGGATGGGAGTTAGAGCAGTGGAGGTGTAAGGTTTATCTTGAAGAGAAGAAGAAAATTGTGTGTGTGTGTGTGTGTGTGTGTGTGTGTGTGTGTGTGTTGGGGGGAGTAGGTGTGGGTAGGATGAGAGGTGGGGAGAGAGGGAGAACATTTGTGTTTTTTTTTTTATCCTCACCCGAGGACATTTTTCCATTTTTTGTTCAGGTAGAGTGGGAGGGAGAGAAAGGAACAGAGACAGAGAGAAACATCGATGTGGAACACATTGAGTGGCTGCCACCCGCACAACCAACCAGGGCTGGGGACAAACTGCAACCGAGGCACGCGCCCTTAGTGGGAACCGAACCCGGGTCTCTCAGGACCGCAGGCCAACGCTCTAACCGCTGAACCAAACTGGCCAGTGCGAGGGAGAACATTTGAATACATAATTTAAATATATAAAGCTTCTTCTGACTGGTGTGGCTCAGTGGATTGAGCATTATCCCATGGACAAATACCTTCTCATTTAATTGGCCTATTTTCTCTCCTTATTATTCATTGTTAGTGTTTCTGCTGTTTCATATTTATATTACCTTTTGTAAAATACAGTGATACCTCGGTTCTCGAACATAATTCGTTCCAGGAGGACGGTCGAGAACCGAATTGTTCGAGAACCGAAGCAATGAAACCCAATAGGAAAGCGTGACTCCACAAAGCATGACTCTCTCTCGTCACTCACACTGATGACGCAAGCAAGGCGCGCTGGGCCGAATGAACGCCATTCGGCTCAACTCGGCTCATCTCGGAAGTTCGAGTTCCAAATATTTGTTCGGATTCCTAGACAAAAGTTTCTCGAATCTCTGGTCGAATACCGATTTGGTCGAAAACCGAGGCGTTCGAGAACCGAGGTATCACTGTAAAGTTTGTCTTCAACTCCCCAACCCCTTTTTGAGATCAAGCTCACATGTTTTTATTGACTTTCTTAACTTGAGAAACTTTAAAATACGGACAAGATTTTTTTTTTTTCAGTCAGCACTAGAGAATGGAAACATCAAAGTATATTAGAAACAAATGTGGTTAGATGGAATCTTTATAAAAAAAAGTTTTGCCCTCATGTTGCAGGAAAGATTTGCCTAGCAGAATACAATACTATATTCCTAAACAAAATACTTGAAGATTTTCTGTCTGCAAATTTGAGAGTGCCTTTCCAAGATCAAGTGTGCCATTTGTCATCATTCAATCAAATGTTTTGTCATTGCTTAAGTTACCATCCTGTCAGGGATCCAAGAGCTTCAGAGCAGTGTTATGGGGTTGGCAACAAAATTCTTTTTGGTGTTAGTAAGGCTCTCTTCCCTCTTCCTTCTTGTATATTTCTTTCTGTATGTGAGTCTATAGATATAGTTAGGTGGTCAGTGAAGTTACCTGGGCCAAGGAATAGCTGGCAAAAATATATTTTATTCATTAACAATTGCTGAGGAAATTGATGCTAGAATAAAAAACATAAGTGAACCTAGAAAATTTCCTACTTAAGAACCCTACTTTTTCGAGTAAAGATAACTAATTAGTACTCTTTTAAAATTTCTGGTAGCTTTTTATTTTCTAATTATTTTGATGTGAGTCCATTTGTTGGGAAGGAAATTTATGGTGTGATGGAAATCATATTTTATTGACTATGTTGAAATGTGTCTTTTATGATACCTCTTCTGTTTCATGTTGCTCGCATTATCAGCAAAAGCAGAAATCTTGTTTTTTTGTAGGCCACCAAATATTTTATAGCTGTTGGGGTCTATACAGTTTTTATTTTTCTCTTTCATTATTTTGGTAAAACTGGTTGAGGTGTTAATACAGAGATATTTTTTCTTTCCAGATACTTTTTCATATATTCCATGTATCTAAGTATTATAAGATTTGTCTTGTGGATTTCTTGACTGTTTAACCTTCTAGTTCCAAAGAATGCTTCTTGGAGAAATGTTATGATGCTTTTAATCATTACCTATGACATGTCTGTATTTTTACTTTCTGATAGTGGCATTTCAGGATGATACTCATGTGAGTCTTGGCTAATTTTTCCTGATCCTCAAGTGTCATCTCATCAACAACAAATAAGGTTTATATAAAATTACTTGCATTATTTGAGGTGTATGTTGTTTTAAAAAATTATTTATTGATTTGAAGAGAGAGGGGGGGAGGGACGGAGAGAGAGATTTGTTGTTCCACTTATTTATGCATTCATTGGTTGATTCTTTTTTAAAAAAAATTTTTTTTCTTGATTGATTTTAAAAGGAGAGGGGGAAAGAGAGAGAGAGAGAGGAACATCAATGAGAGAGAATATCGATTGGCTGTCTCCTGCATGCCCCCCACTGGGGATTTGGCCCACAACCTGGGCATGTGCCCTGACCAGAAATCAAACCGGCAACCCAACCCCTTGGTACATGGTTGATTCTTGTATGTGCCCTGCCTGGGGATCAGACCTGCAACCTTGGCATATTGGGATGATGCTCTAACCATGTGAACTACCTGGCCAGGACCTGATTTGAGGTTTTTGATGGGGCAGTTCTTGTCGCTGTAATAGAAGCATTATCAGAACAAGGAATTCGAGAGAGAGGGTGGTGGTAAATAAATACACAGTGTTTTGATTCTGATAAATGTTCTTTTTGTCTACATATGCCATTTAAGTTAGAATTATATAATGCATTTTTGTCCAGTGCCAAAATTAAGCCATTGAAATGGGTTAATTCCTTAAACCATTTTTCATTTTTTTTTTTCTTTTTTTTTATCCTCACCTGAGGACATTTTTCCACCCTTTTTTTCAGGTAGAGTGGGAGGGAGAGAGAGGAACAGAGAGAGAGAGAAACATCAATTTGAAAGGAACACATCAAGTGGCTGCCACCCGCACAACTGACCAGGGCCGGGGACAAACTGCAACCGAGGTACGCGCCCCCAGCGGGAACCGAACCCGGGGCTCTCTGGACCGCAGGCCGATGCTAACCGCTGAGCCAGACCGGGCCAGGGCCCATTTTTCATTTTTATCAATTTTTATTTTACTGAAATTATTTTCATTGGGATTCTTTCTTCTCCATTTGAAGACTATTATTAATATTACTTTTAATCCTCACCTGAGGATATTTTCCCATTTATCTTCAGATAGAGTGGGAGGGTGGGGTGAGAGAGAGAAACATCCACATTGATTGGTTTCCTCCCGCAGGACCCTAACCAGGGCCAGGGACCGAATGGCAACTGAGGTATGTGCCCTTGACTGGAGTCAAACCTGCAACTCTTTGGTCCACAGCCCGACGCTCTAACCGCTGAGTCAAACTGGCCAGGACTTCATTTAAAGTTTAAAACGATGATTTGATTATTTTGTCTCTTTGTTATTATTGTTCACGTCTAATTTGTCCGTATTACATTTTAGCCTATGATAGCTTTTGCCATTGTAGATTCTATTTTATCATTGTTATTGCCAGTTCCAGTGTTCACAGGATCATTTTTTAGTCATTAATCAATTTTAAGTATTTTAGCAGTTAATTTTATTTTTTTGTGTGTCCCCTTTCTGCACCCCTTAGACTTAATTTCATGTTTATGAGAAAAAAAAGGTAATAAGTATAAAGTAGCAGGAACACTAATAATGAATTATAGTGGGAGAAAAGAGGCCAATTAAGTGTGGAGATCTTCATTCAACATGTTTGAGAAGGTATTCTTTTTGTCCCATCCCAAAACGTGTCCTAATGATGATTCTTTTCTGAACCTGGTCAAAGTATTAGTGCGGTTAAATACCATTACTGTTGAAATGGCGAATTAAAAGATCTTCTACAGAGTGCTGACCTGCACTCTGAAGGGTCGTTAGTTAGATTTCTGGTCAAGGACATGTACCTGGGTTGCAGGTTTGATCCCTGAAGGAAAGTCTTAGGTTAAAAAGCATGTTTAGTGAGAAAAGTATAATGTATAAAATGCTTTCTAAATGGTTGGATTAAAGGCTTTTTCTAGGGCCTTTTCTCAAATTAAATCTAAATCTGGTGTAAAAATTAAAATTTTGAATTTGTTAGGTGTGATAATGACATTGTGGTTACACAGGGAAAAGTACTTTGTAGAAGTTTCTACTGATGTATATAGAGATGAATTGATGCCTGAGATTTGCTTTAGAATATTAAGAAGAAAAGATGGGTAGTTGAAATAAATGTGACATAATCTCGATAATTATTGAATTTAGGTAACAGATATATGGAGGTTAATTATATTATTTTCTGATTTTTGTCTGAAAATTTTCATAATAAAAAGTTTCACAAAATTAAGAGTATTAAAAACTTATTAAATATCTTAATAAATTAATTAGCAACAGTTATGTAGTCCCAGTACTCTCAGAACTACCATGTGGTACTCTAATTGTCTCAAATTATAAATGGCTGACTTCGGGATGGAAAAGGTTAAAAAAGGGAGAATACATAAGGAATTGTGTGGGGCTTTTTTTTGTTCGTATTTTATCATCAGATAGAGTGGGAGGGAGGGAGAGGGAGAGAGAGAGAGAGAGGGAAAGAGAGAGAGAGAGGGAAAGAGAAAGATCCATGTGATAGAGCCACATCGACTGGTTGCCTCCTGTAGGGTACATGCCCTTGACTGGAATTGAACTTGCGACTCATTGGTCCGCAGACTGACACTCTAACCACTGAGCCAAACCGGCCAGGGCAGGAATTGGTATTTTTTATTTTATTATTTTTACTTTTTTTTTTTATACTCACCTGAGGACTTTTTTTTTGCATTTATCTTCAGATAGAGCTGGGAGGGAGAAAGGGAGGGAGAGAGAAACATTCATGTGAGAGAGACACATAGACTGGTTGCCACCCACACATCTCCATCCGGGGCTCGGGACAAACTGCAACTGAGGTACATGCCCTTAGCGGGAACTGAACACGGGTCTCTCTGGTCCACAGGCCGACGCTCTAACCACTGAACCAAACCTGCCAGGGCAGGAATTGGTATTTTTTAAAAAGTGGAGTAGAAATTAATATTTAGTCTTTAGTCTTTTTATGGTTAGTACAGCATCATTTAACATTGTTTAAACAGGGCATATAGGATCAAATTCATTTAGTTATAAGACACTTGTATTTTGTAAAAGGAAGTAATTCCTCTGATATATTGCAGATTAACAAATCAGAACAGTGCAGTGAGAAAATATTTTTTGTCGTGAATTATAAATCTTTAAAGTTCGAAGGTGTGTGTTTTGAGCAAGTCTCGTTTTCTCCTTGAGTGTGAAACTACAGGCAACATGATCTAAGCTGTAAAATAAATTAAACCTCTCCCCAAACACTCCCCAGTTTTTCTAGTTCAGTCTACCAGTAAGTGACACATTTCCCCTTGACTCAGATTGCCTATCTGTTTTATTATCTAGGATAAGTAGTATTTTTATGCTTTTAAAAGTGTTCCTGATATGGCTTAATTTTGTGGGGAGGAGATTCCTTAGGGGACGTATAGTAGGGGTATGGCTAACACTTAACCTAAAAAGCACCTGAACCTTTTTTACTTTGTTCTTCATATCACTGGAGCTATCTTTGTTATGAGGTGTAAAGAGAACCCTCTGGGAAACTCTTGAGGGTTAGGATAGTTGACTGAGTGCCTAAAACAAGTTTGCCTTATAGGCATCTTTAATGGTAGATTAACATTTCAAATATTTGTTTTAGGGAATGGTTGGGCAATCCAATAGGTAATATGAAGCCACGTGATGGAAGTTATTAAGAACTCATTGGTAGTGGAGTCATGAATCAATAAGTGATAGTTTTTATGTTTTCTAGCCTATTTTCAGCTCTCAGTATTAGGCATACTCTCCCAATACTTCATAGAATAATGCAAAGGTATATATAGGGTTATATGTTCTTTAAGGTGCTTGGTAGTCAGGGATTGACACTACTGTTAAAAAGGTCATTGATGTAATGAAGGGAAGGAGAGGTAATCCTTACTACCTAGTATCCAAAAGCTTGTACAGTTTGCAAATCATTAGAGGTTTTAAAGTGATGACATTTAAATTATGTCATTCTTGTTAGCTGCATTTTTCTCATAAAGAGAAACTTCTCTGTGATTTGATTATTTGGTTATATAGTTCATATATAGTTAAATCAGGGTAAATTCTTGATTCTTGCTCTTTGTTTACCAGTTTTCAAACTAATGAGCTGATTCACTGGCATCCTAAACTGATTTTCTTCTTTTGTTAAATGAGCTCAGACATTTAAACATTTTAGATATTTTAATTTCACTGCATTTATGCGTGCTCAGGTTTTCTCCCCTTTGGCCAGTGGAAACCTCTGCAGATTTGCTTCTGAGACCCTTTAACAATGTCCTGATCTTTGATAGTTTCCTTGCATTCCAGCATAACAAGGCAATCAAACAAAACCCATAGTGTCTAATTTATGTCACAGATCTGGAATCAGCCATCTGTTGAATTGAAAGGGAAATTGCTTTTTAATATCATTATCTGAGTTCATTGCTACTGGGGTTGGTCCCTTGCTTCCAGACCTTTTTAGTGTATAGTGCTAGGAAATAGGAAGATGAAAACATTAGTTTATACTGGTAAATTCTATTGACATTTAGGATATTCTTTAACTTTTTCTTTTTATTGAATTTTTTTGGGTGACACTGTTAATTATATAGGGTTTAGGTGTATAGTTCTATAATACATCATCTGTATATTATACTGTGTGTTGACATCATCTACTTTCATCACCATTTATCCCCCCTTTACCCTCTTCTACCTCCCCCCAACCTCCTTTCCCTCTGGTAACACCATATTGTTTTCTTTTTTATGACTTTCTTCTTTTCTCCTACTTAAAAGATATGCAGATTCTCAAGGACATCAACATTTACTCTATCCCAGACACCAACACTTTTATTATAACTATCAACACTGCTACCAACAATGTGATTATTGAAAACAAACAAAAAAAGGGGATGCAAGGATTAGAGTCAGTATTGTGTTATAAAGTTATTTCACATAGTTAATCTCTGAATGGTTGTACTGTCAATTTGATGTAAAATTACAGTTACTTGTTCCATTGTGCTTTTGATTTTGAAGGATTTTCTTTAAAACATTAGTTGTAGTCTAATCCTATTCTTGTTCACTTCACTTTGTTCAATCTCTCCTTCCCAATAAATAACATGTTTCTTTTTTTTTTTTAATCCTCATCCGAGGACATTTCTCCATTTTTTGAACAGACAGTGTGGGAGGGAGAGAGAGGAAGAGAGAGAGAGGGAAACATCGATGTGAAAGGGACACACTGAGTGGCTGCCACCCGCACGACCAACCAGGGCCGTGGACAAACTGCAACCGAGGTACATGCCCTTAGCGGGAACTGAACCCAGGTCTCTCCGGACCGCAGGCGGATGCTCTAACCGCTGAGCCAAACCGGCCAGGGCAATAACATGTTTCTTTACAACATGTTTTTATTGATTTTTTTTTTTTTTTTTTTTTTAAGAGTGAAGGGGGGGGGGGCATTGATGTGAGAGAGAAACATAGATTGGCTGCTTCCTATACACACCCTGGGGAACCACACCCACAACCTGGGCATGTGTCCTGACTGAAAATCGAACCAGCAACCTTTTGGTGCATGGGATGCTGCTCAACCAACTGAACCACACCGCCAGGGCAGATAACATTTTTAAAGCGCTTTCTTAGATTAAATGAAGGTTCCTTTAAGGCAGTGGTTCTCAACCTTCCTAATGCCACGACCCTTTAATATAGTTCCTCATGTTGTGGTGACCTCCAACCATAAAGTTATTTTTGTTGCTACTTCATAACTGTAATTTTGCTACTGTTATGTCTTAGGTGGCCCCTGTGAAAGGGTCGTTTGACCCCCAAAGGGGTCGTGACCCACAGGTTGAGAACCGCTGCTTTAAGGGATTCCTGCATTGAGTAGAAGGTTGGACTTCATAACTACTGGACAACCAGCGCCGTGATATGTTGTTAAAACATTTTCATCGCCCTGGCCGGTTTGGCTCAGCGGTAGAGCGTCGGCCTGCGGTCCAGAGAGACCCGGGTTTGGTTCCCACTAAGGGCATGTACCTCGGTTGCAGTTTGTCTCTGGCCCTGGTTGGTCGTGTGGGTGGCAGCCACTCGATGTGTCCCTTTCACGTCGATGTTTCTCTCTCTCTCTCTCTCTCTCTCCCCCTCCTACTCCATCTGAACAAAAAATGGGGGAAAAATGTCCTCTGGTGAGGATAAAACAAAACAAAACAAACATTTTCATCACCCTCAAAAAGTACCATTGTACAGCCCAGCTGGTGTAGTTCAGTGGATTGAGTGTCTTCCCGTGGACTGAGAAGTCCTGTTTTGATTCCCAGTCAGGGCACATGCCTGGATTGTGGGCTCAATCCTCAGTTGGGGGTGCAGTTGGTTGCCTCCTGCATGTGCCCTGATTGGGGCTGGGGATTGAACCTGCAACCCAGGTACATGCCCAAAGAGTCAAGGGCTGATGCTTTAAGCAGAAAACTGTAAGAATGAGGACTAGTACATACTGTTTGGGGAAGAAACAGAATTGAGGACAATTCTGGTTTGAGATAAAGGAATAGGGAATATGTCATGAAAGTAAAGTGAAGTGAGGTACTTTCCATTTCCTGTAAAGTATACAGGATGGGGCAAAGTAGGTTTATAATTGTTCATATGGAAAATTATACAATGGTTAATAATAATACAAGAAAAAAACTTTCGTGTACTCAGAACTGTAAACCTACTTTTGCCCCACCCTATATTTTTTGTGCCCGGTCTGGTGAATTTAACCCATCTTAATTTTAATAGATTACGTAAAATCTCATCTTAAATTCAGTGTATGAAACTGTAAATTATTTTACTAAAATCTATGCTTTCCTCTTTTTTCCCCTCTTAGGACATTTGCTACAAGATCCTATTGCACCCACCAACTCCACCTGCCAACACTATGTCTGCAAAACTTGTAAAGGCAAGAAAATGATGATGAAACCTTCATGTAGTTGGTGCAAAGACTATGAGCAGTTTGAGGAAAACAAGCAGTTAAGCATCCTAGTGAACTGCTACAAAAAACTATGTGAATATATAACACAGACTACATTGGCACGGGATATAATAGAAGCAGTCGACTGTTCTTCTGATATTTTGGCTTTGCTTAATGATGGATCACTGCTTTGTGAGGAGACAGAAAAACCCTCAGATTCATCCTTTACTTTGCCTTTGACACATTCCCCTTTACCTTCGACCTCAGAACCTACAACTGATCCTCAAGCTAGTTTATCTCCAATATCTGAAAGCACCCTCAGCATTGCTATTGGCAGTTCTGTTATCAATGGTTTGCCTATTTATAATGGGCTTTCAATAGATAGATTTGGTATAAATATTCCTTCTCCCGAACATTCAAATACGATTGATGTATGTAACACTGTTGACATAAAAACTGAAGATCTGTCTGACAGCTTGCCACCTGTCTGTGACACGGTAGCCACTGACTTATGCTCCTCAGGCATTGATATCTGTAGTTTCAGTGAAGATATAAAACCTGGTGACTCTCTGTTACTGAGTGTTGAGGAAGTACTCCGCAGCCTAGAAACTGTTTCAAATACAGAGGTTTGCTGCCCTAATTTGCAGCCCAACTTGGAAGTATCCAATGTATCCAATGGACCTTTTCTGCAGCTTTCTTCCCAGTCTCTTAGCCATAATGTTTTTATGTCCACCAGTCCTGCACTTCATGGGTTATCATGTACAGCAGCAACTCCGAAGGTAGCAAAATTGAATAGAAAACGATCCAGATCAGAAAGCGACAGTGAGAAAGTTCAGCCACTTCCAATTTCTACCATTATCCGAGGCCCAACTTTGGGGGCATCTGCTCCTGTGACAGTGAAACGGGAGAGCAAAATTTCTCTTCAGCCTATAGCAACTGTTCCCAATGGAGGCACAACACCCAAAATCAGCAAAACTGTACTTTTATCTACTAAAAGCATGAAAAAGAGTCATGAACATGGATCCAAGAAATCTCACTCTAAAACCAAGCCAGGTATTCTTAAAAAAGACAAAACAGTAAAGGAAAAGATTCCTAGTCATCATTTTATGCCAGGAAGTCCTACCAAGACTGTGTATAAAAAACCCCAGGAAAAGAAAGGGTGTAAATGTGGGCGTGCTACTCAAAATCCAAGTGTTCTTACATGCCGCGGCCAACGCTGCCCTTGCTACTCTAACCGCAAAGCCTGCTTAGATTGTATATGTCGTGGCTGCCAAAACTCGTATATGGCCAATGGGGAGAAGAAGCTGGAGGCATTTGCTGTGCCAGAAAAGGCCTTGGAGCAGACCAGGCTCACTTTGGGCATTAATGTGACTAGTATTGCTGTGCGCAATGCTAGTACCAGCACCAGTGTAATTAATGTCACAGGGTCCCCAGTAACGACGTTTTTAGCTGCCAGTACCCATGATGATAAAAGTTTGGATGAAGCTATAGACATGAGATTCGACTGTTAAATCAGTGGGTCTTGAAACCTACCTCTGGTAGGGAAATAGCTACAGTTTAAGGCAGCTATGGTTTTGTTGGTTTAACTTGCCGGAGCTCCTGCATATAGATCACTTGTATCAAGTGTTTTCATTGCTAAGTTATATGTGTTAGTGTCGGGGAAATAGTTTGCAGATAATGGAGGAGTAACCCTACAACTATATGTCCTTAGTTCTTACAGAACCTCATAGTTTGAGAACAAATGCTGATGCAACTGATTTATACAAAATGAACTTTGGCAAGGAAAATAACATTAACCTCATTGTTTGTGGTCATGCTTTGTGCGTAATCAAAGTTTATGATTAAATGTAAGGAAGTGGTACCTAGTCAGTCCATAAAGATTGTGCTAAGTTTTTGTGGAAAAAGTAGCCATTAGTTTGTTCAGGAGACTCAGTGCTACCTTTAGATGCCATTGATGTTTCTCCTGTTGAAAAGCTGATGTGTCCAGCTCAATCTTTGTGCTGACATAATACCATTTCTGATCATGAAAATTGGCTACTGGTGTATGTAGCAGTTCTTAAATCAGCAGTATTATGAAAGAAAATTTGCCCCTCATTAGAATGTTGAAGAAATCTGTCTTTTAAAAGTGATCAAACTGAAATTCTGTCAGACTGCATATGTTTAATTACTTATGCTACAAAACTTCTGAGTTGAGCTCCTTTTTTTAGTTGTCTTGACTTATTTCTAGGGAAAACATTCTTGACCCTTTTCCTTCACTGTGAGCAATGTTCTAACTAGATAAATGAAGTGGAGAAGAGCAGTTTTATTCTGAAGCTGATTGAGTTTAGACTATAGTATTTGACAGAATTAAAAAAAAATAAAAATTTTATTTAGAAATTGGGATGTATTTAAAATAAGTTTGGAATAATGCCCCCAAATGTATCCAGATTTACACATTGTACTTATTGCTGTTGGCCACTTTGATTTTTCGTTTCCTCTAATAGTTTGCCACAGACTTTATTTTAAATACGCTTTTTTTTTTTTTTTAGGGTGCTATTTGTTATGAAGGCTTCTTTATAGAAGCCTAATAAAAATGCCTTTTTTTTTTTTTTTTTTTAAATGAAGCCTGTGCATTTAGGTAGGTTTGAAGCTAGGAGGATTTTCTTTAGAATGCTCTTTTGCATTTAAAGCACAAACTATGTTTCAGTTTAAATGCACTCCTTTCCTTTAATTTTTATGGGGAAGACAAGTGAGTCACAAACATTCTGTTGATGGGAAATCTGGTCAGTTGCTTGAAAGAGCACAGCCCAAATAAAACAAGGACTGACTAGGTTGTAAAGAAATTACCTTATGATTTAAAAGAAGAGTTGCTGCTTTGACAGTGCTTATTTAAAGAAAAATACTGCTGGAAAATTTCCAATTTCTACGTTCACCATCTCTCGTGAGATCTGACATATGCTGAAGTTATGTTTTGATTTGGCACACAGCATGTTCAATGATGGTTACTCACCTAGTACAAGACATGGAGAAGAAACCTTGGACACAGAGCAGATGACACCTCCTTCTGTTTTGTAGTGTATCTTGGTGTCATTTTCTGTGAATGTGGTCAGGTAGAGTTGTTTTTCTTGTTGTTGGGTTTTTTTTTTTGTTTTTTTTTGTTTTTGTTTTTGTTTTTTTTTGGTCTCTCGGTGGGGTGGGGGTGGGCTAAAGCCATAGGAAGAAAAATGTGATGTATGTGTCCAGTATGTACTATTTTGTTTTGTTTTGCAAGAAGAGTTGAACTATTTTTGATAACAAGAGTAAATGGTGGAAAATGCTTCTTAGTTGTCTTGTCTTTATTTGCTTTCCAAGTTTTTGGAATTTTATTTAATTCCTCTAAGTGTTAGCAGTGTCTCATGAAACATGTATTTGCCTAAAGTTTGTAACAGTTTTGTGTTGAACCCAGATGCCCTGCTATATATATAAACTTGTAAATCTGTTTATTCATTAATGATCACTGCAAAAATGACTAGAAATGAGATTGTACACATGGATGATTAGGATATATTTTGCAAATCTCCCAAACTTTCCTAATATTATGATCTTAAAAATCATAGAGTACTTTATTGCTTCCCAGGTTTGATAATCTTAGTTTTGTGTTTTTTGATGCATGGGAGGTTGGCAATATAGAAAAAGTGGAAATCATTAGTATGTGAGGGCCTTGATTGTTATGTAATATTGCCAATGATGAATTCAGGTTGTTTTTAGCACAAATTTCTCTTTTTTATGCTGGTATTCACACTGCCACATTTTGGAAACCTGTATTACACCTTAAATCTATCAATAAATGTTAGTTTTCTAATTCTATGTTGTAGAATACTGAGGAGTTTGGGATAGCATGCTCTGAATTTGGGGAAGAGTAATTAATTACAGTGCCTTGATTTTTACATTGTTTTTCTTTATACCATGAGTCATTTAGGGATGCTGACTAATGGCTAAATAGGGATTTACTTTATCAATATTTGAAACCACCAAAACAATAACAGCATTTAATATGATACATCTTCACTTGTTCTTTTGAGTCTTTGTCATTAACATAAATGATCAAGTGATCTTTCATCTTAGGTTATAGACATTTTTGAGCTGACAGTTTGTCTTTTTTGTTAGTTTCATGAAGTGTACATTTCCATGCTGAGGTGTAAGGGTAAAGAATTCCTTTTATTTCACTGTGTTCTTAGTTTGCTTAGAACAACTCTGGTGACTTTGCGGAAGAAAAGTACGTTTTACAACACATGACAAAATTTCCTTTCCCGTATCATAGGTAACAAATATAAAATGCTTTAAAAAATACATGTAAATTTCATGTATCACATGAGTAGTATCACAATATATGGTATTGGAATCTAATACTTGGATGGTATTTTAATTATTCTCCCCCCTTTAAAAAATATTTTTAGGTACCTAAATAATCTATTAGATATTCTTTTAAAAGAATGTGTTATATACAAGACTAAAGTTTCTTTGATCCCTGTGAACCTCTCATCCCCAAACCCTGGTCCCCCTTCCCATTCCCCAGAGGAAATCACTTCTCCGTATGAGTGTTATCCTCACAGGTCTTTATAGTTTTCCCAGGGGCTCAAAGAGTTACTCTCTTTGAACCTCAAGCATGTTTATAGTGTTACTCAGACATAAAAATGAATTCAAGTGTGACTAAAAGCACAAATGTCTAGTGATTATCTTAGTGAACAGGGTTCATATTTGACAACTTGTCTTTATTTAGTTTTGGAAAAGGGGAAAAATAAAAACAAAAGTTAAATCATGCAGGCTTCTCCACCCAAACACATTTTAACATTTCCAAAGGTTGAGCAAGTGACTTATTTAATCAGTTTGGAGTTTTATAAACACTTTGAACGTTACACAATAACACAGATAAGATGCAAGGAAAATACACAGAATTTCATTAGTTTGATTAGCTTGGCAATTAATGTTAATGCTGTGAAACTCATTTTTTTCATTGACTAGCATTAAGATCATAATAGACCTCAATTTATACTTTTATCAAGGAGCCTTGGATATTGTAACAACTTGAAATTTCCAGTTGGGCAGTAATGATTATATGCAGCATGATTTTTACCAGAAAGTCAAATATATACTGTCTTAGTTCCTCAGAATTCACATTTCTTGTGTTCAACTCTAGGAAAGGAGTACAGTGGAACACATTCTTATGTCTGAAAATGTGATACTTTGGGTAACCTAAATTAATTATCTTAAATAGAATGATATTGGTAGCTTGCTTTTATAGTAATTACACTCTTTGAAACCAAATATATTGACCAAAGTGAAAGGAAGAGGACTTTAGTAAGAAACAAGGTGAAAATGTAAAGCCAAGTTTAAAAAAATCAAGTGTATATTGGGAAATTGGATTTCATTTTTACTTTTTGCTGAGTCTTAGAAACAGTTTAGGTCATTATGGATAATAAAACCTTTAAACCATATCTGGCTTCTAAAAAAAGTATTCTTTTTTAGTATTTTTTATCTGAAATAAAGTAATTGCTTTTTTTTCCCGGTAAAGGTTGGATAGAGTAGATGGTAAATTTCATGTATCACATAAATATTTTAATCCTAATTTACCAGTGTGGTTAGGTTATTGCATGTAGTGTGTTCCCCAAATTTTTAGTCACTTTTAAGCTTTTAGTTTTTTGTGAACTATTAGATACTAAGTTTTAATAGTTATTGTCTCTAACAGTTAAATGGAAGATCAGTCCTGGTCATGGAGCTAAAAGGAAACTGGGAGAATACTGACAAGAAGGATTACTAATACATCAGTTGATAGTGCATTTTTTAATTCTCCTTTTCTCTGCTTTTTGCCTACAACAGCTTAAATGTTTATTTCGTTATTTGTTCTTAACACCAGCATGGGAAGCAGGTCGGTGTAGGAAGGAAAACTATTCTGACATTCAGGACTTTTGGTTAAAACAAAAAATCCAGGGGAAAAGTTGATGACTGTGACAGAGATGAATATTAAAAACTTTCTTGGGGGTTTCTTTTACTTACACCATTAGAAATTTCCATCCTTTTTATAGTTTATTTTTATTTTCAATTTTATCTTCAAAGTTATTGCAGGATTTGGCTGCATTGTGAATTGCCGAAAAATGTAGATTTTCTGAAATGAACACATCTACCACTACAGTACATGAAATAGCTTTCATTATTTGTGGCATCATTGTTTTCTTCTATTTCTGTGATAAATACTGATGTGGATGGAATATTTAGAATAGTAGTTCCAAATTAAGTAAGGAATCATGTTTAGATTGAAGCCTTTACTATTGGGTTAGTCTAATATTAAGGGATGAATATGTCTAGTAAGAATTTTCATATTAAAGTCTTCAAGTAGATCTTCTGATAGGAAGTGTAGATGGGGTATCAGCTAATTTAGAGACTAATAAATCATTTAATAATTTTCTACAAAAAGAGTTTAGAGGAAACTTTTTCAAGTATAAGTCAAATTCTATACTTACTTTCATTTAAGAAGTTTTTTCCTTAGGTTTTTTTCTAAGACCCACAGTCAGGATGGGGAGAGGATTGTTTAGAGCTTGCCAGCAAGGTTGGAAGGCCCAGTGGTTACAATACCTGAGGATGTAAAGTGACTAGCAGTTTGGCAGGTCATTGTGAAATAATACATTAAACCAAGTAAGTTCAAGATCTTTGAACTCCAGTACACACATAATTAAAAGAAGTCTCTGAGATGTTTTGGCAGTGCTTTTATTACTAGGGCTAATTCAGTTCTGGAGGCCCTTAATGCTATTTCAAGTTCCAGAATTTTTTGACTCAAGTTTTCTGCAAGTGAAAGTTTCTTCTGAGCTCCATAGGAGACCCAAGGGGCCTCAGGGATGCTGGACAACAGAGGCAACTCCTTTTGTGCAGAGAACTGTGCTTGACACTGTCCCCAAAAGACCCTTGGTACATTCAGGGGTGAAGAGTGCTGGTTCACAGACTTTGAAAGGTGATGTATATCATTGTATTTGCTTCTGAGGGAAATCTCTAAGAGGTTTGAGGCAAACTGAAGGAGTCTCCCAAACTGAGTATGTATATCCAGACCTATTGCTTAAAAATAGTTTTAAAGTTCCTAGTGCAGATACACACTTGCTGAAATCAAAGCCTTTAAAAAGCAGTATGCAAACTAGAGCATCTCTTCACAAGAAAAAAAAAACATTTAAAATACATATCTCCTTTTCATATAGACATTGGCAGCTGTTCTTCATCCACTGACTGAAGCTTTTCACATTTCTCTGAAAGGCTGGAGGTTACTATTTTATTGCCTTTGTTTCCAATTTCAGCGGGAAAGGTAGGTTCCTCTGTTTCATAATCTTCAAAAGAACTGAAAGAAACAGCAAAAGTGAGTTAACTGATTTTTTTTTCTTTTAAGAAAGTGGATAAAGGTCAATACAGCAAACTAGGGACTGAGGACCAGCTTGCAAAAGTACCCTCAGTTGTTAAATGGCAGCTATAAACTGAGCCATCCTGGTGAAGACAGTGTTCTGGAACAGA